AGAACGTAGCTGTCAAACAAACCCAAACAGTCCTGACCCGCGACAATATGAAACAGAAAAGTACCGCAGTGTAATCCATTTATTTCAACAAAGTAACTGTATTCTGAATACCACCTTTTTAAACGGTAACTGTAACGGAATACAGTTACTCATATTTTGTATTCTAAATACGTAACGGCGGTGCATGTATTCCGTTACTCTCCAACACTGTATACAGGGGAGCTTGAAAGGACACTATATAAACAGTGCTAAGAACAAGAACAAGGCCAAAAAGGGAACCACCTAAGAAAAGAGTCTAAGAACTAGAAACATGAATTACTAAACTAGGAAATACTGGAAACTACACAAGGACCAAGAAAGAAATCATAATAAGAACTCAGATAATAAGAACTGGATAAAGAACACAGAAACTCAGAATATAGGACAAAACTTGTTGATGCTGGAAATAATCCAGCATCATTGTCTGACCTTACAAATGTGCTTCTGAAAGAGGAACCTATAAACACACTCCTAAACCTCGTGGAAAGCCTTCCCAGAAGAGTTCAAGCTGTTATATCTGCATAGGGTTGGTTGACCTCATATGTAACCCTATGAATTAATAAGGATGTCACTCAAGTTCACGTGAAGGTTGACGAGCAAATACTTCCGGCAATAAAATGTATAAATGTGGGCTAGCATAGCAGAAGAAAACTGGCTTCACAGAAGGCACGAGTTAAAACAACTCATTTCACATAATTGATGAACTTGTGGGTGTGCTCGGCAAGACATTTTTAAAACTGTGAATAATCTAAAGCAACTCATCTAGAGTCCAGTGTCAAAAAGAAAAAGAGGATGATTTCAGTTCTTCTTCTGGGTCTGCACTAGTATGTCTATCACTCCTTTATTATGCATATTTTTTCTTCCCACTCACGCCACTGTGCTTGCTCATAGGGGGTCATGTGATTGTTGGGATTTTCTCTGTTTTCTTTGTATTATTGTAGGGCTTTACTGTACACTTTAAAGCGCCTTGAGGCAACTTTTGTTCTGATTTGGTGCCATAGAAATAAACTTAAATTGAACTTTATGTGGAACAACACAGGAAATGTTTTAGGCTTTAGAGACTCAACATTCTAACACAAACATAAAATAAGCATATGGGGGAATGTAGCTGTTATTTCACTTGGTTACCCTGACCTATCTGCAAAAAGTAAGGTGGTGCATGAGACTATTGGAGATGAGAAAGAAATTGATTTTATCAGATCTTAGTAAGTGATATGCAGATTTATTCAGACTCCATCAGTGTGGACGCACATGCCTTTTACCTACTCAAGCTTTACTTTTCCTCAGCTTAGCTTTATCCAATCATTATCCATATTTTAATTTACACATTTGTTTCTCAGTGAGCCACACCCACCCTAATTTACCTACAGGACTTTCCAACAGATAGATGGACTGTGTCTCCACCTTGTGGCCATGTGATAGAGCTACAGCATCCCAGTCACGCAGATAAACTGAACAAAGGGCATTTAGAGGACATGAAATGCTTCAGCATATTATCAGATCATTTATCAAATTAAGCTACTGTGACAGGACAAATAATCACCGTAATCTGATTGATGCAATGAGAATGCAAGAAAATGGCAATCAGCCTTAGAGGGTTTAGGAAAGAGAGGTTTGACTACAGAAAGCAAGAGTGTAAAGTGAGCTCAATGAAATGGATTTTTCTTTAGGTAGAGAAATAAAGAATGATATCACTGGTGGCCCATTTAGATTAGGTTTAGAGTTGTGTGAAACTAGGCAATTTAAATTCTTTTTTTTTAGCTTTACAGTTTTTCTATTTGGTTGTTTCAAATACTTTGACTCTGAAGTTAAATGTAATCTGACTGTGCAGTGACAAATTACTAAAAATATTCAGTAATATTACTAATAAAGCAATCAAAGGGAATGCATGTACACAAAATGTTAGATATTTCAGTTGATTTTTGTAAAAAGGATATATCTGTTATCTATACGTAGAGGCAAACCATAAAGTACAACACTGGACTTTGATAAACAACTGTGGCCTACAGCTTGATATCATCCATGAAGAGGAGGTGGCCAACTATTGCTCCATTCCATAATTGGTATCCATATCCAGTCTTGTTAATGATCTCACTGGGGGAGTTCAGGCCTGTGCAAGACAGCAGTGGGGACAGAGTATCTCCTTTTGCGTCCTGCAGTTGATGGTGACTTGTGTTATTGGTTTGGAGCTGGCTTCTCAACACATCCCCATCAAATTCCTCATTTCTTGTAAAGTTACTGGTATTCCTAGAACTTTTTTGTATCAATCCAGGTGGTGCACAGGTTGGTCAGTCTGGTCTCACAGTTTTGAGTGACCAGTATATCTGCCAGTAGCTGTGTTTTGCCCCTCTAGTGTATTGAATGCATGAATGAATGAATGAATTGAACCATGTGCCTGTTCGTCTTAGCCTCGATGATGCCTGATAGGAGCTTCCATATGGTACTGAGGCAGGTTACTGGCCGATAGGTCAATGGGACCATTCCCTTCTGGGGATGCATCGGTTAGCCTTCAGTTAGCCTTCGGTTAGCCTTTGGTTAGCCATTTCAGTTGTGTCTCGTCCATTAGGAACTGGTTCATTTGTGCTGCTAGATGCTCATGGAGTGGAATTAGCTTCTTTAGCCAGTAGGTGTGAATCATGTCAGGGCCTGGTGCAGTCCAGCTCTGGACATGTCTACCAATGTGATAGTTGCTGGACCTTGTGTGCTCTTAGCTCCACAAGCATGGTTGTCATGGGTTGCATTTGTCCCATATGGTCTTCCAGTATTGTTCCGTCTCCAGCCTTGGTGGGATTGTTCTGATATTGGTCCCCTGCCACTGAGAATACGCCTTGGACGATTCGGTGGAGTACAGCTGGTGTATACTGGTGGTCTCTATCTGTCTGGTACAAATCTTCAAGCAGCTGGTCAACACTGAATCCCCCCCACTACATTAGGCAGCTCTCTCTCACTCATCAGTAATGTATATATAATTTTAATTACTTATGGCCTTCCTTCACTTTGCATGTCAACCATTTGATCCAGTCTTTTAGAAAGTATTTTTATTTTATTTCCAGTCTGTATGTGAATGTGTCAATAACCAGGATCTCCTCAACCACAGTTACCTATTCTCTATAGCTCTGTGTTTCATAGTTTCATAGTTTCTTAATTAGTTTTCTTTGCCGCTACCAGGAGAATCTTAAACAGGTATTCGTCCTTTGGATGCACATTTCCTTTAAGATGACCCAAGTATAGGATCTGAAATGACCGTGGAAATTGTATATTCAAATATGTTAACAAGAGCTGAATGAATACCAATTTGGAGATGACTTCATCCCATTTTTGTAATTTAATTTTTGGTGCTTCTATTGGCACTGATGAAAATAGGTTTAGTAATTATGGCAGTATATTCATCTTTATCACCCTTATTCTATCATTTAATCTGAATTGGTAGGAAAACCATCTGTCAATGTCAAAGTTACCATCATTATAGTCATAGTTGGTTTGATATAGTTTTGTCTGGTTTTCGTTTATAGCTACACCCAAATATTTAAGTTATTTAGCTCCCCAATTTACTTTATATTAAGTTCCTGATCTGGTAAGCTGTTGAACATGAAAATGTGGGTTTTCTGAATATTTATCTTACAGCCAGAGTACTCGCTAAATATATCTAATACTTGGACCAACCGAGTAAAGGAGTTTGTTGGGTTTGACAGATAAATCATAACATCATCTGAAAATAGGCTTATGGTATTTATCTGATTGGTCATTTCTTTTTCCTGTAATCAAGTCACTTTGCCTGATCATTTGGGCCAGTGGTTCAATATACAGAGTGAAAAGCATAGGAGTCAGGTGACATCCCTGTCTGGTTCCCCTGTGCAGCTCAAATTCCTGTTAAAGCCAGGAGAGGGACTAACTTGTGCTCCCAAAGTTGTGCACCACTCACTCCAAACACGAGTGGTGAATTGAAGCTCACAATCCAAAACAATGTCGAAGGGGATTCCATGAAGCCAGAGGATGTGGTCAGTAAGCAACGAGGCAATTTCTAGAGCTAAAGGAAGCTTGGGGAGAGCAACAAAATGGACAGCTTTGGAGAAGCGATTGATGATGGTTAAGGTGACAGTGTTACCAGATGGGCTCAGTGTGTTACCTGGGGATAAACCTTAAAGGGATGTGGAGACAGCTGGGTGGCCCATTTCTGGTGTCAGGCTTATCCAGCTGAGCATCCCAGAGCAGGGACTCAATCTCCCAACTCAGGGAACCAATGATGCAGTCCAGTGAAAGGGGACCAGACGTTCTGGGACAGCACATCAGGTTTGATGTTACAGGACCTTGGTCGATAGCTAATGTTGAGGTTAAATCTGGTAGAGGTGGATAATATCCACCTGGCCCGATGAGCATTGTAATACTTTGCAGTCCGGGGATATGCAAGGTTTTGGGATCTGTCTGTACTACAAAGGCATGCTCCTTCCAGCCAGTGCCTTTCTCTTGTAGGACCAGTTTGATGGCGAGGACTTATCATACTTCCTTTCTGTGGGAGAACAATAGTAAGAGAAAAAAACCCCACATAAATGTATTTTACTTTTGTTCCTGACTTTCTCTTCCAGAGGCTTCAATCCTCTCCTATGATGGCAGCATGTATATGAAGGTTGTGATGCCGATCATCATGCATACTGAAGCTGAGGATGTGTCTTTGCGGTTTCGCTCCCAGCGGGCTTATGGTCTCCTCATGGCCACTACCTCCCGAGACTCAGCCGACACGCTACGGCTGGAGTTGGACGGGAGTCGCGTCAAACTCACGGTCAATCTAGGTATCGTATGCCCCACCCAGCCATCTGCCACTACACCTCCACCTTCACTGTGAGATGGTTTACCGTCGAGCGGTAACTTCTCCTTTTCTATTCTCTTTTTTTTCGTCTTTTCATTGGTTACTCATCACAGTGATCCCTCAAAGATTTCAACCATCTTTAGAACAGCAATCAGTTCTCTTTTGCATGGCTGTTAATGTGTGCATAAATCACCAGACAGCAATTACTGGAAACATTTAAAAATACATACATTTTACTTCACTATTAAATATGTTTGGAAACCTTTGAACCAGAAACGTGTACTCACTTTTGTTTATAGAACCTTTGAGACAGTAAAAGCAAAATAAGTAGAATACACATCATAAACAGGTTCTATATCTGGTTTCAGTTTGTTGTTTTTATTTTATCTATTTTTTTAAAGAACAGACTGTGCTGAGATTTTCTCAGATGTAATCCGTAGTAAGAATAACCACTGATCCATCATTCAGCAGGATAGGATATAAAAGGAACAAGTTTTCTTTCTACGACCTTCATTTTTGTGTCTGACATCAGGTAATTTCTGTGTCACCCTGCTGTTGTTCTGGGTGTCTTTTTGTTTTTTGTTGCTCATGATAGTTTCTTTTTGTTATTAAATTTTGTGCTTTTTCAGCGTCTTCCTTTTGCTTGTTTTCCCATCAACTCCATTTCCCATCATGCTTTGTCAAAAGATGGTATTCACACCTTCAAAGGCCTTAAGCCTGCGGCCCGTCAGGCGAACAGCCCGAGAACAGAGCCCAGCAAAACCTACAGCTAGCTGCAACCCCAATGTTAAAAAGAAAAGACAAGAAGAAGAAATGGCAAAGACACACGAGTCACAAACTGCATTTTGTCTGTTCTATATCGTACATACAGTTTGTCTTGTTTGATTAACGGTGGAAGTTGTATACCATTTAGATGAATTTTATGAGGCATACTCTTGTTTTTAATTTCAAAAATGAAGCGCCAATTGGTCAGTACTTTATATGACTTTCTATCCCATATTAATCCATGTAGTTTTGTACTAAGTGTTAATGTTAGTAGCCTGACCCTTTGATGGAGCGTAGCGAGATGCAGGAACAGTATAGCAGGAGTTTTGATGCTTGGGGTTCCTGTGCTTCTGCACGGTGCTGGTGCTGACTGGATCGTGGCTGTTTGCTCCCACTTTTCTGTTGCGGTTGACGACACATGAAACCACCAGCCACATGGTGACCAACCCTCGCTGTCGCAGTGTGCGGCAGTTATTCTGGCCTTGGTTCAGATAATGAACTTGCTTTTTCTCAGTTACAAGCGTTTATTTAAAAAAAAATCTGTTTGAATATCAGATCCATTTATAATTATTGTTTGTTTTTATTAAGTAACTGAGGCAATTTTACTGGTGCGGAGGCTTTGATTTAAATGCAAAGTCAAATAGTGTTGGGTCGGAAAACCCATGTAGCTGGTATTACAAGTGGCCATTTTTATGTAAATATAGCACAATTATTAATTACAGCACTGTTGATTAACAAAAGAGCAGAAATTAATGTATTGAGTAATGACATGTTATATTTATTACATGATTGTTTGACTTAGAGATCATTCTAAAGATAGACCAATGGGATGAAATGGCTGCCTTACTGCATGTGTACGTCCCCGGAAGGGTGGATTTTTTGTTTTTGGATGTCTGCAGCAGTAACCTTGAAGGATGCAATTTCATCTGTCATTTATTCTTCCCCATCTAGACTGTATCAGGATAAACTGTAACTCCAGTAAGTTAACACTCAAGTTTCATTTTGTTTTGTTTGTTAATGATATCGATGTTTTTTGTTTTTTAAAGAAGAAAGAAATGTAATTTTTCAAAATCCAACATCTTCTTATTTGAAGGGTGAGTTTGAGCAACATAAAGCAGTAGAAACAGACTCAGTGAAACTAAATGGTGATGACATAATTCCTCATTTTATATATGCCAGAGGATCACAGATAAAATCAGTCTTCTGTTTCCTCTATACTCTACATAACCAATATTTAAAGAAGCTTTTATGAGATTAAATTACTCTTACCTTCCTTAGGAGAAAAACCGTGAATATACAGTAAATACAGTATATTTCACTATATTTGCCACCTTCTTTGGTACAGAGTGGGAAATAGTAATTGAGAGCCAATACTAGCAGAGTACTACTGACATTTGTCGTCCAGTTTGGTGCTATGGCACCATATTGCCTCAGTAATGGAGACACTGGTACGGTAGATGAACAACCTTTTGGTGTTACCTCACAAGATGGAAATTAAAATTAGATGAAGATAAATATGAAATTTGGTAAGAATGTATGAAAAGGATGAGTAACTGTTATGTTCTGTGGTAGCAAACCAATAGAAATTGCTGGTGTAGAGCTTGTGCTTTAGCTGTAAGTTAGTACATATTGTTCTCTAAAGAGTGCAGTAATAGCCTGAAGTTAACACTGATGTAGGTAAATGACACTGAACAAGGTAAGTTATTATTAAACGATTACTATTAATCTGTCATTATTGGTTAGCACCAAAATGATGAACTTGACTAAATCATACAAGCCTCTGTCTTCAGTGGAACACAACTGAAAGCACTCAGATTTAAACTAAAGGGACTAAAGTAATTAGTGTAAGCGTTCATGCCCAGCACATGAGTGCTCATGAACTACCTTTGATTTTATGTGAGGAATTTATAAACACCAAATATTAAAGCCTTATTTCAGGGGAAAACTTGACAAGCTAAACGATGTAACCATAAAAATTGAATTTTGTGAATCATTTTGAATTTGAGTGTTTGTTAAAACATTGATAATATCCATAATAATGCTATGATAAAACCCATGTAGAACTAGGAGCTATCACTCCTTATTTTTCAAAGCACACTAATAGAGAAATATAAATCCAAGGAAAAATTCACATGTTGTTTCATCAGGTGGACATTTTCAGTCCATTACTTTTTCTGTACAACGAGACAGTTTTTTAAACTGAAATTTGTGTTTCCATAAGTAATATGCATGCTAATGACAACTAGCTGAGTACTGACTGACAACGGGTGTACTTTACACTCCTAACACAAACCCAGATTCAAAAGGCTGAAAAATCAAACAGTCTTTTAATTAAATGTAATATTTGACTATTTATTGAAGAAAGTGTGTTTTTCAGAGGAAACTAGTTCGCAGGATAGTTTGTCATGTTAGGGAACTTTCTAAGCATTTTTCAGGCTAGCTGTGATGAATCATTAAGCTCTTTCTACTTATAGTGTGTCTGTTGCTGTTTTACAGTCATTTCCAAGATCACTACGATTGCTTTTACTCATAATGGGGTAACGGAGATTCGATCAGCTTAAAGATGTAATCAAAATGATTTAACCCAATTTAGATTTTAATTTAAATACTCAAAGAATGTACATATTAAAAATTAATATTAATATTGAGAATATTACACATTATTGAGAATATGCATTATCCTTTGAGCTTTTTGATATGAATAATTATAAATGAGAAAAACTTTTAAAATTGTTTCCCACGTTTCAGACAGCTTCTTGAAAATTGATGATGATCAATCTCATCAACTTCTCGCCAACTTGCCTACATAATCTGTCTTTATAGGTTCACAGTGTTGGCATCTGTATTACTTGTGTATTTGCTTGGTATTGGATCGATACCAAAAGTTGTAGCACCATGCATTAAACACATTGATGGGATGTTAGCTATCCACTTCCAGTCACTCAAATAAACAATTAAATATATGAGGTCCACCAAATTCTTGGAGCTGCTTGAGCAAAGGATAGGTTGGTCCAGCAACCATGGAAAAAAATAATTACGTTTCTCGTCTACGGTTGTGACAGATTAAGACTGAAGACTCAAACTAAGTTAAACTTTTCTTTAATTTTCTTTTTTACATTTCAGTGCACCGCCTCGACTGCCACAAAATACTGCAAATAGTTCTATAATTACAGACTTTGACATATGCTGGTGACATAAATGCCACCATGTCTCACATGCATACAAAATATTAATTTTAGTTTTGGATTGTTATGATGCAACACATCTTTTTATAAAATCTGCCTGTGATTGCTAAAATACAGGTGGTGCATCAATTGACCCTTACCCCACTTTCCTCTGCATTTCCATGTGTGGCATCGCTGATGTAAATGATGTAAATGTAAAGAAGAAAATGCTTAAATTAATTTAAAGATAAATGAATAAAACTGTATGACCAACCTGTTTTCCACATCAGTGCTAATTTCTTTTAAATCTCATGACTGTTTTCTAACCTGAAGTAGTTTCATACTTTTCTAAAAGGAAAGAATAGTTCTCCTCCTGCCCTGAGAAGAAATGGTTTCCAATAATATAAAGCAGCCGTCCTCATCCTTTTTGTGCCAGGGATCGGTTTATGCCCGACAATATTTTCACGGACCGCCTTTAAGGTTTTGCGTATAAATACAACAAAATAAAACCAGTACTGTTACCAAAAAAAAAAAAAAAAGATTCACACAGGAAAAAACCCAGTTAACACTGAAAACGATAAAAAACGATAAAAACCCTGAAAAGCATGAATTTCGCACCTGAGCCTCGACTCTGGCAGCCCGGTACCAAACGACTCCGGTCCGTGGCCCGGGGCTTGGGCACCACTGATATAAAGCCCTAATGTTTGCTGAACACAAACATATAACACTGGTCATGTTAATAGCATTTTGTTATTGGAGCAGGAGATTAAGAAATGAAGATAAAAAAGCAGTGCAGAACATGGAAGGAATGACAGGAAGATTTCTTTAACTCTATGATGAGTAAAAGCAATTATTTCTACTGCTTAGCAGTCAGGTAAATGATATGAGCACAGATGTTTGACATCTGTGCTCATATCATTTACCCTGTGTAAATAAATGAATGACTATATCAAACCTTTGTTTCCCATCAGATCTAATTTCAACCCAATTTTTCCCTCATTTTTAAACTACTAACCAGGTTGTGGAAGACCTGTAAATGTTCCTATTGTCACTGGTGGGAAGCAAAGGTTTGGTTTTAGGCTCTCAGGATGTCCTTAACTTTGTGACTGACCATTGTTCTCAGGCAAGGGACCGGAGACCCTGTATGCTGGGCAAAAGCTCAATGATAATGAATGGCATACAGTGCGTGTGGTGCGTCGTGGCAAAACCTACAAGCTAACGGTTGACGATGATGTAGCAGAAGGTACTTGCCTCCATCAACTGGAAATATTCTTAGTATGTCTTTGTCAGTGTTATTCCACCATGCTACAGCATCTCGCCATAAACACTAAAGTCAGTGTGTAATTCTGCTCCAAAAAAGCAAGTACACATGTACCCATTAGTGTCAGTTTGCATTCATCTAATACTGTGTAATGTAATTTTCTCCTTAAATCAGCCCTTTTGTGTTAGTGTCAGACGGTGTTCTCTTTTCTTTTCGTTTTTTGTCTTTCTTTCAACCCTTCCCCTCCACCCTCCCCGTCTCCAGGCCAGATGGTGGGTGACCACACTCGTCTGGAGTTCCATAACATCGAAACAGGCATAATGACAGAGCGCCGATTTGTTTCTAGCATCCCATCCAGCTTTATTGGTCACCTCCAGAGCCTAAGGTATTTCTACTTCTAAGATGAATATTCTGTAGATTTTTAAAAATGTTTCCTTATTTTTGCCCACATGTTCTTTTCTTTTTCTCAGATTTAACGGCATGCTATACATTGACTTATGCAAGAATGGTGACATTGATTACTGTGAGCTCAATGCCCGCTTTGGGATTCGCTCCATTATCGCTGACCCTGTCACCTTCAAATCCAAGAGCAGCTATCTCAGCCTGGCCACGTTACAGGCCTACACGTCCATGCACCTCTTCTTTCAGTTCAAGACCACTTCACCAGATGGCTTCATACTCTTCAACTCTGGAGACGGCAATGATTTCATTGCTGTGGAACTAGTTAAAGGGTAAACTTTCCTTTAGAGGATACCTGTTAAACTGTTGTTAATGGTTGGTTGATTTTATTGTGTTCCAATAAGAATAACGAACAAACACATTTTTGTCAAAAGTCTGATATCCTGATCATGGCCGAACCTTCATTATAGGATAAAATTCATCTTTCTGTTATATTTTTACTAATTTGCAAATAGCAGATGTTTGTATTGCTATTTCACACTTGTTTTTGTTGTTAAACCCATATAACTAGTGATTTTTCTCTTGTAGGTACATACACTATGTTTTTGACCTTGGAAATGGGCCCAACCTCATCAAGGGAAAAAGTGAAAGGGCACTAAATGACAATCAGTGGCACAATGTGGCTATTACCCGAGACAACAGCAACACCCATACGCTGAAAGTAGATGCTACAGCCACTAGTCAGAGTATCAATGGTGCCAAGAATCTGGACCTTAAAGGTACACTCAAGATATGACTCAGTTTTTCATTTAGATATAGTGGTTGTTTGCTGCACTGATAAGAAACGAGTGTTTCGCTCTGTGGTATAGTGGTTAAGACATTTTACCTGACATGCAAAAGCTTCCTGGTTTCATTTTGGCAGGAGACACACAAACCATACCTCAAGCTCATTGAGGGTTTTAAAAGATGCCTATAAATAAATGTATTATTATTATCATTATTATGAATAAACTTTATTACGATCTACTCAAGCTGCTTCAATTTCAGGACTATAGATGCACAATCCTCTTAGCTGTGTGCGCAGCGCGCCTTCAAGCCCAGTTTTTGACACTTTGTGGAGCATGCTGTGACCTTGGGGATATAAATCCAATAATTTCACAATTCAGAACGATGACGATGATCACTGTTGACTTAGTTAAATTTGAAGTTAAAGTTTAGGACTGCCAAATATTAATGACTAATTGTGTGGAGGATGGGCTCATGGCGTACATCCTTTGATGCCAACTGGTCAGCCAGCTTACTACTTACTTCTAACTCAACTTTAAATCTTTTCATGGATGCTAGGCGTGACGTTGTCAGCAGGAAGTGTGGGTCAATATACTGACACTGAAATACTTCAGGACTATTCCCCAGTCGTGCCTTGATGCCGGTTTGCATTTGTGAAATGAAGGAGTTGGTTTTTGAAGAGAACAACTACCACGGCTGGGTATCGATTTTGATTTCTATAACTGACTCGACGGTCCCGATTCGATTCGATTCAGTTTTGACTCAGACAGTCAGAAATATTAGAATTCTGATCATTTATCAGCACATGTCCATATTTTTATATGTATGTATAAAAACAAAGCTGAGACTTCATCAGAGGCCTTTGTGTCAAAGTAACTGAGGATAAAACAGAAAAACAAGCAGATTTTTCTGGCCTATAACCTTAAAAATATTCTGCAGTAGAACAAAAACTAAAGAAAACTATGATACAACATGTGAACATTACCTGAGGCTATTTTTGAGGAAAAAAAAACAGCGGCCGGCAGCACTGTACACACTAGCAGACTGGTGCGTAATAAGCAAGCGAATGATGGAGACAACAGAGACGTTTGATGGTAAACTGGTCTGTGAGTACACTGAAAGAAAGCTGAAGTGCAATTTTATCGTGGTGGAAGCAAAACAGCAAAAGTACGAGGAAATGCATGAAGCGTAGTTTTGATCATTTTGTTTTGCTGATGGTTCAGCGAGTTTTGGTCAGAGAGTGACGAAACCTGCAGCTTCAGAATCTGTGAGATGTCGGTGTACGTGGCGGCGGGTGAACGATCCACGCTTTGTGTTTTACGTCTTTGTGTGGAATCCGTTTACCTGCTCTCATTTACTGTTTAGCTGTTTGGTGGTTGTTGAAATAGTTTTGTGAGCTTTAACCTGAGATTCTGACAAAATACTTTTATATTGAAATATTGATTCAGGATTTAGTGAATCGATCTCACTTTATTTAAACTAAAATCGATTTGGATAGAGGAAATGTATTTTTTAAAACCTCCCCCAATAACTGCATCAGACTTAACAAGACAGTGCAGACGGATCTTTCTGGTGTTCCCAGTAATGCAACAGTAAAATAGTTTGTGTGCTCAAGCAATAAGAAGGTGAATAATTAGCATACATTTGCAAATCAGCCAGCGTCGTATTCAGACAACAACAACAATAAAAATCCACGTACGTGTACAGCTGTCAAGAGGAAAAGCCTGTGTGATATGTGCGCTCTCTTTAGTTCGGTTTGTGATTAATTAAAAGTTCTGTTTTGTTTGTCCTGATGTCGTTTAGATCTGAAAAGATTTCAACACAAATCTTTCTATAAATATCCATAATATTTTTAAAGATAATGTTCTCCTGCACTTTTACATTTTTTCTGTGCCCCAGGTGATCTGTTCATTGCTGGACTGGGTCCAGGCATGTATGGCAACCTGCCTAAACTGGTGGCTTCCAGAGACGGCTTCCAGGGCTGTTTGGCGTCAGTGGACCTCAATGGTCGTCTTCCGGATCTCCTCAACGATGCATTGTTTCGCAGCGGGCAGATTGAACGTGGATGTGAAGGTACACCGTCCCTCAAATCTCAGCCTGATTTAGACTACTACAACACAAACTTCAACTCCAACTCCAGCAGCCCTTTCTTCCTGCTCAATGCAAACAGTAGCTCTGCATCCATGAGACCGTATGGAAGGCGCTTCGTCTTATTAACTGTATTTGTTGCCTCACTTATTCACTGTTAGAATTCTGATCAAATCAGCTCCTCGTACAAAACCAAGTTATCGGCCACATCGGTCGCCTCCTTACAGAGCCTTCATCATCACTATTTATGCAGCCTTTGCTAATGCAAAGATTACCTCTCTTATTTTTTTAATCTATGATGCTTTTGTAAAGTTCTTTTTCTGAATGATATGAATATTAAGTTTTATAACTGATTCAAAACAAAAACAGATTCTAATGGGTGCTGGCTCAGGTATGTCAGTAAAAGGACAAAAGACAGAGAGAGTCACTACATTTACATTTCCTTCAACATACTCACGTTATTCTTCACTTACACTAACTCTGAGAGTTGGCTACAATGCTTCTGACTACATATGCTGAACACTGTCCTGTGTCACGATGCCAATGATGTGTCAGTCCTGAGTGGATCGTTGTTTACATCCATTTCAACCTTTAAAGCCCACAGAGTAATGGATTCAGATGAGACAATGCTACACAGTAAATAAAGTTCTCTCTGGTCTCAGAGCACTGTCATAAATGGTGACAAAATGACAACTATTTCTTTGTGTACATCATTGTTGAGGTCATTAACTATCATCATTTCTATTACTTTATTCATTTTTTGTACTCTCTATAGATGATTCATTACAGTAACCATCATTACTTTTGTGTTTGCCCTGGTTATTGTTACATCTGCAAAAATCTTTATCCTCACTGGGGCCACCAAACAAGATGGGACAACAGAAAGTAATGTATCCCATTACTGCACTGAAATGAGTATGTTACAAGGAAATGTTATATGGAATAGCATTAGGCGAAACATTGGACATGGACCCAAGTAGATTTTTTTATATGACAGTCGACATGCCTTTGAAACTTAAGCAACAAGAAAAGATATTTTATGTCTGCACTGTGTATGTTCTGCCATGAACATGTAAATAGACCATATGAAGAAAAGTACAGGGGCGGCTACACATTACAAGTACAGGAGGTACTTGGTCATGGAAACCTATGCCATGAAGCGCCTTTGTTTCTGTGCCGATGTTGATGGGCAAGGCTGAAACTGTTAGTCAGTCAGCAGAGACTCTTACACACTTACGTCACAGCAATGCATGGCACCTTTACATGATCTGCCACTCTGTGGCTGACTTGTTAGGATTCCTAAATGATTCCACTTTGGAATAGTACCATCACAACACCACAGTTCATTATGGAATATCCAGGAGGGAAGAAATTTCACAAACTGACTTCAAATGCTTGTATCCGATTGCATTTCCATGCTTGAACTCGGTGAGCTGTCAGAATGACCCAATCTTTCACGGCCGTTTGTAAATACAGATCTGATGGTTGGTGCTTGATTAAATACACCTGTGGCAACTGGACTGAAAATATCTTGGCTGTGGTTACGTAGTAACAATGTTCTGATTTTGGTTAAAACATTCTCATTAAGTTGTTTTTTCATGACTCTCACACTTTACCAAGAGATCAAGCTGTTATATATCTATTATAAAAATCAAAGCTCAAAATTTATGTGACTCTTTTGAATAATATTTGGCACTTTCGATGGGAATCACTGTTTTTATTACATTTATTTTGTTAGACTACTGCTGTTTGAGGTAGCCGGGGTTTACAAGTGGTCAGCTGCAGAAGTACAAAGCAAATAACAATGTAACTACTTCAAAAAATCGTTTATATCTTTATTTGTAGGATGTGCAGTTTTACATCTTGCCATTATTTCTGCATCAGGCTATATTTGGTATTCAGTTCACACAGACCTTTGTTCACAAAGACAAACTTGCCAAAGGTTTTAACATGTTCTGTGTAGCTACACCAAAATGGGCCGTTGAAACATTTTGCACAAGAAAACAAATGTCATTGTGGACAAAATGTTTCCATCTTCCTGTAAAAGTTGTGCATTTTTATTATTCACTTATTTATTTGCTGCTGTTTTATGGGCCATCTTCCACAATCTGTTTGCATGGACATCATTTTCTATACAGCAGTTTTTCTTATGCCTGCCATATCATTGAGTTGGAAATGTATGTATTGTACTTTTTGTTTTTCATGGAACATTTATTTAAAGAGCCCCATGTTAAACCAATAAATGTGGTAGCTGACATTTCATTTTAGTAGAAAAGAAACGGTATATGTCCTTGGTATAACAATCTGAATCAGAATGAAAACAATGTTATTTCATTGTACTGTATGCAGCGCAAGAAAGTATCGGTTGATTAATTTATTTTTCCAAATAAAATTTCATCAATCGCAGTTTGTTGGTCTTGTCCATGGCATTTTTGTGTGTTTGTATGATTTTTGTATGGTTTTCTTTTTCTTTTGCAATACACCACGATCAGCTCAACAGTCTTTTAAACTGTTTGAAATTTCATTGTTTGTAATTTCATTACAAGCTTTCATCACATTAAAAGTTTTTCTTGTTTGTTTGTTTGTAAGTTTGTTGCCTATATCGAAGCCCATCTGTAATTAGGGAGTTCAGACTGCAGCAATACATTTTGCCGTCACTAGAGGGCGATGCTGCACTGCTAACAAACAGCAAATAAGCATCAACACTGAGCTTTAGGATTTTCTTATAAGCTGACGTTTAAAACAATCCCCCCTCGACGGTCAACATGACTTTGTCCCGAATACCTCCTTTAACTGAGCATCTTTGACGAGGTAAGTCTCCGGACCATCACATGATTTGAGGTCGAATAACAATACGTTTTTGTTCAGTATCATTGCAAACCAACCATTCAAGTTATAAAAAATAAACAATAATTTCCCAAACAAATGAATGTGTGTGAGTAACCAAAGTATACAAACAACAGCACACAAAGCAGTTTAACAAAACGTCTCGTTGCTCTTTATTTGTCATTATCATCCTAACATTCACAGAGTTATCGATGACACATTGTTATAGTGGCACAGTCGCGTTCTGACAGCACAAAGGTCTGGCTGGGCCTCTCCTCCTGCTCTGTGTACTCCACCTTCCTCTCAGTCCAAAGACATGCATGCCTGTTTAATTAATGATTCTAAATTGGCTGTCAGTGTGAATGTGAGCATGAATGATTGTTTGTCTCTCCACGTTAGTCCAGTAGACTAATGGCCTGTCCACACGCATCTACCATGGCAGCTGGAATGGGCTTCAGCTCTCCTGTAAACATGAACTAGCTCAGCCGTTATAACTGATGCATAGAGAACAGCCAAACAGAAAGCCTGAACAGAAATAACTGAAATGTACTATGCTTCATTTCAAATATAAAATAGTGTAGTTTATTTAAAGAATAACTACATTTTGCCACATTCCAATGAGAAAAAGATTTTTAGGGATAACTGTAGCAGTTGAATGATCTTTTACCAATTCAGTCCAATCAAAATTCAGTATTGAGTTTTATTCAATTTTATTTATATAATGCCAAATACAACAACAGTCACCACATGGACTTTAACAGCCATAAGACATTACATTATGATGACTGACAGGTAACGTGAATAACACTGATGATCACGTTATTCTGGCACCTATTATTGAGTGAGAGATATATAGATAATATTTTAAGGAGCAAGTGCAAGGACCAGATTGTGATGGTTAGATGATATGGTCAGAGTATCTCCTAAACTGCAGCTCTTGTAGTTTGTTCTCACTCTGCAGTGGTATCTATCAAAAGTTTTTCCAAGGAAGGAACAGCAGTGACAGACAGGTTGTTCATGGGCAGCCAAGACTTCAGTGATGCGCATTCAATTTCCATTCAAT